CAAATATTTAAGGAAGCAGTTTCATTAGGCAGCTATTGGATTAATCAATTTTTTTGTTGTTACTCGTTATTATAGTCGTTTTCATTTTTTCTTATTTTCACCGTCAATATGTATCTTTCGTTGATGAAAGCGATTTGCAATACTTCATGCATAGTTACTGTCATACTTAATATGTGTGTTTGATAATATTTTCTTTGAAAAAATTTAGAAAATCAAAGATTCGATTTATTTTTTTGAGACCGATGGTCTTAAGTTCCTTTTCATATTCTCAAATGAAGATCTTTGAATTGCTTAAGTGATGCTTAATTTTCTAGTAGATCTTTTATTGTATTTTCTGAGTGATATTCAATAGTCCATTTAAGAAACGTAATTTTGAATTTTCTTCAAAAATAGAATATTCACTTTTGAAAAGTGTTGCTAATCTATGTTATGTTATAAAGTAATGTTTGTGTTTCATTATTTTATTTGTTATTTCTAATGAATTTGTTTTGTCTTATGGTAAAATTTTCTGTTCTTAATATGATTGCGATCTCAGGATTGGACAAATTAATGTTAACTTTTTGAAATTAAAAGTCGATATTGAACTATTGATTTTGAATAGTTTTCTTTTCATATAACTACCCCGGTGTGGGTGAGTCTTCAATTCTCTCACAATCACCCTCACACCCTGTGCACTTCCTTGAACCATGTTCTTTATGTATACAGCAGCTACACTCAGAGAAAATGTAACGAAACGTTTTGATCAATTATCTGCCATTATTATGTGCATTAATTTTTCTCCCTCCTTCTTTATTTATCTTTTCGTTTCACCACGCTTTCGAGAAAAGATTAAAATGTATTTCAAACATCCATTCAATTTGAGACATAATCAAATTAATGCTATGAACATTGCTCCTACAGCGTCATAAATAATAGTGCACAATATCGAGAGAGAAAATGTTAATTTGATGATGGTAACAGAACACGTTTAATGAGATCGGCATTTCACATGTTATTTGTGAAGAGAATATCTGTTTACAAATTTTAATATCAGGTCAATTTATTATTTATGATTAAACAAATAAAAAATAATCAACACATTCAGAGAACTGATACGTTCGATGCTATCAAAATCTCTCTTTAACACATCAATGAAGTAATATAAAAAAATCATTACTTTTTTCGAATAAAAGTGAAAAAACCATTTTTTAACCACTTTTTAAACGTTGATCTTCATACTTTATTTCACTTTAGTCGAAATGCCTGACATTACTTGACGCTATAAGAAGTCCTTGTTACTTTTTCACAATTGAAATACTTTTTATTATAAGTATTCTAGCATAAACTACAATGCACACATGTCACTTATCGACTGTATTCCATATAAAATGAATATCGAATAATCTGCTTAACAAAAAAATCTCAAAACACATTTTTCAATTATTTCATCAGTTTGACTGAGTAAACAGGAGAAATTCATCTTAAGATAGTTGCATATCAGTGAGTAAGGTGTGGGTATGGGTATGAGTGGGTGTCTATCTTCTCTGTTCCGACACCCATACTCACGTCCACACCCTTAGACACTTTGTTTGAATAAATATGACTTGATGGATAGGTGTTATATAGTTCGTTGTTGGCATCAGATACTGATATTATCAAGCAAATTTCTAGATAGTATGAGTATGCCTAGATGCTGCAATAGAGAATTTGACATTTTATAATCTTGATGTTCGACTGCGCTCTTTGCGCTGACTTGGATTTTTTTACTTCTCATTGGCTCATTAAAGTCCAATAAAATTATACCAGACAGATAGTGATGAATACTTTGTGTCGCAGTCTTTCAAAGCCACGTCATTCACCTTTATATCTGTTCTATTCAAAATAAAAAGAACAGAAAAGATTTTTCTTCGTCAAAAAGGTATAGTCATTTCTATTTTCTCGTTTTTGTAGTAAGTTATGTGCCTTCTCTTCTTTTTCTTTCTCGTCGTAAGCACAGAACGAATATTAACTGAAGGTATACAAAAGAACAAAAAATTTTCATTTTAGAGAAATTTAAGAGAGAGCCCGCTAGAGGACTAACCCACTCTCCATACAGATCGTCGAGGAAAAAAAATTTTTTTTAGATTTAGTTATCTCAAATGAAAGCTCTAGTCGAATCATAGTTAAATCCAGAGTATTAAGTCATTTGGTTTTATCTATGAAAAACGTGAGCTACTAAAACAATTTTAAAAGGTCTATTTTGACATTTTCTCATGCATAGTTTGATCGCCTGAGCTCGGAAACGTCTCATTTCATAGAGAGCAGTATAGGCTATAATTTATTTTATATGAATAACTAAAATCTAGAGTAAAGAAGACAATATAAGTCTCAAACTGTCTAAATCTCGAGAAATGCACCCTGCCGGAATAGCGATATTTTGGACTTCTCTTAAGTAGTACATGTGGACCTACAGGTATTTTTTATCAGACATGGATCTCGTCACGATACATCTTTTGAAATTAAATTGTCAAGATGAAAAAACTCGGGGAGCCAAGTTAGCATGAACTACACTGTGAGCTACCCTACTTAGTAGGCATTGATGCTACCCCTCAAAATCATACAATTTCTTTAGAAATGACGGAAACTGACTTTAGATTCGTGTTCAGCTTGCAAAACTGAATGGGATAGGTTATTTTACATTGTAGTCTGACTTGTACCAAGCGTGTTCAAGATTATGAGTTCACCATATGGATATATGATAGGTAGATGCATCAGTGTTTTAATAATAATTCACCAATATTGATAGCTATCGAGTTCGAGTTTTTACCATTCGATAGCTCTTTTCGAACCCAAAAGTCACTGATCACTTGAGACATGCCTAGACACATTGATCTTAGAACACGGTTCTATACATTCTTGACCCTCTTTTAGTCAGTTTTTAGTTAAAAACAACAATTTGAATCAAAACTAATATCATATTCGGAATCAATTTTAAAAACTAAGTCGATTCATGTACGTTTCAAAGATTTCCAAAAAAAATTGTTTTCTATGAAAAAAAGAACTGTACTTCCCTCAGGATTCATGAAAACATGAATTCTCTCAATATGGTGTTTTTGTCGTTTATACTTTTGTCATTTTGCTATTGTTGAAATTAGAGAAGCTTGAATATTTCGTTCTACACGATAAATGGCATTTTTGAGAGAAATCATTTTTTCCTAGAAAAAATTTTTTCTTAGACATCTTTGAAACATAAATGAATCGATTCATTTTTTAACAAGGGTAGCCCACAGTGTGGCTCATGATAACTGAGTTCCCCGAGTTTTTTCGTCTTGACAATTTAATTTCAAAAGATGTATCGTGACGAGATCCATGCCTGATAAAAAATATCTGTAGGTCCACATGTACTACGTAAGAGAAGTCCAAAATATCACTACTCCGGCAGGGAGCATTTCTCGAGATTTAGACAGTTTGAGACTTATATTGTCTTCTTTACTCTAGATTTCAGTTATTCAAATAAAATAAATTATAACCTATACTGCTCTCTATGAAATGAGACGTTTCCGAGCTCAGGCGATCAAACTATGCATGAGAAAATGTCAAAATAGACCTTTTAAAATTGTTTTAGTAGCTCACGTTTTTCATAGATAAAACCAAATGACTTAATACTCTGGATTTAACTATGATTTGAGTAGAGCTTTCATTTGAGATAACTAAATCTAAAAAAAATTTTCCCCGGTGATCTAGGGTGGCCCTATGGCGGACCGTCTCTTAAAAGTAATTACAATGTTATCTTCTTTTTACATAGATCCTACATACACATCAAAAGCATTTCTCCACATTCTTAATCATGGTGGCTATGCCATACTGAGTGCTGGAAGAAATCCATCTGATCTTTCTGATTTCCATCTAAAGGACAGTACTATCAATCATCGTATAGAACAGTTAGAGAATGACCTTCGAGAACATTCCTATCTCTTTTCGACTATTCGAGGTGTTTACGATGGCGTTCAAGAAGTTAGTTTCATTGTTACACTTTTCAACAGTAGCCTCGAGCAAATACGTGAGATAGTGAATTTTGGAATTAAATATAATCAAGAGAGTGTAATCTGTGTTGGTCAAGAACGACATCGATCACTTGTTGAACAGCAGTTAATCTATATTACTGGAGAACTGAATGGCACATATATAAGTGGAAATGGCTACAAAGTTTATTCCTCATCATCTTCAATAACTGATAATTACAGTGAAATTGATCTTTGTCCAAATGGTACATTTATATTTACATTAAATTTTGATTTCAATTATTTGTATAAGGACAATCGTCACCGACCTGTTAAGACAAACAAAGTTATTCAACATCATCTATCGAATAAAAAGAAGACTACCAAATATATGAGTTTTTTGAAACAGTTGCAGAGATTATTTTTTTTCGTGTAACTTTTTAAATTTTTTTAATATATTTGATCTGAAGTTTGAAAAAAGGGAGTGGGTGTGGGTGTAAATTTGTTATTCATCCACACCCACACCCTTATGGATATGAGATTGTGTTCCTTATATTCATCCACACTCAATCACTCAAAACATTAGACAAATAACGATTTAATTTGATTCAGGATTGGATGTGGATGCGGTTGTGTCCTTCTCTTCATCCTCAGTCATACCTACGCCCATCCTCATTTTTGTTTTATTTGTTGTCGAATTGATGCTAGATGGTAAATTCTTCATTTATATTCGAACTCGAATTAGGTAACTCATGTTCGATGTGGTGTTTTCTTTTAGTAAATAAATACTGTGTTTTGTTATTCCCTAATGCATAATTATACAATTAAATTTCTTGTTCGTTGCACGCTTTCTTTTCTCAATGGAAGAAAAAGAACTGAAGTAAAAAAAAACATTTTTTTTCTTTCTTCCGAATAGCAATACTTAAGGGTGTCATTGCTATAAATCAGAAAGAGAAAAAAAATGACAAATGTCATATGATGAAATTCGTAGCTATTTGATTTTGCCAATAGAGCGAGAGTAGAAACTATTTTTTGTTTAATATGAATCAAATTGAGTCAATAACTACTGATAATAATGTATTTAATCGTCAACAATCGATTTATGATGGCTCAACAACACATTCCAATTTTAGTGAAGCACTAATTGTCATATGGTTACGAACGAAATCTGCAGCTGCAAATATAAATTTTGATTCAATTGAACCTAAAATTGAAAATAGTGCTGATTTATTGAAAAACTTTCATGATTTGCCAAAAGAATGTGAACAATATATTTGTTCTAGACCTAAAAATATCAAAATACTTTTTATTCTTTCACATGAATATGCTCAAGCTCTTCTTAAAAGTGTCCACGATCAACCCGTATTACACTCAATATATATATATGGTAAAATTTATAAGAAAGAAGAAATAAATGTCTATCCTAAGGTAATCATAAACTGAAATAATTTCTATGTCATAATTCAAAAACATAATTTGTAGATAGTCAATACGTACACGGATCTCAATATATTAACGAATGATTTATGTTCCGAAATCTACAACTATATTCGACATGCACAATTACCTATGACGATTTTCAAACAACAATATGAACAAGATCAATCGACCAATTTGCTTAATAAATTTGCTTATTTTATTGACTTTTGGAATCCCTTATTTATTGATTTGTTATACGATTTACCTCAAACAGATTATGAACAACAAAAGATTAAATTTCTTGAACAATGTCGAATATATTATCGAGCTAACGAATCTGTTCTGCAAATTATCGACAAATTTGAAAATGAATACAAACCTGAATTTGCTATTCGATGGTACCTAATTGATTCATTTGTATTTCGTCTACTAAATAAAGCAATGCGTCAACAAAATATTGAAGGAATTCTTATATTACATTTTTTTATCTTTGATTTATTTAACGAATTGAATAAGATCTATCATGAATTCATTGATTCAAATGTGTATGAAGATAATACATATGAAATTGTTTACAGAGGACAAAAAATGTTCATTCATGAAATTGATAAATTAAAGAAAAATTTAAACTATGGTCCAATTGTAATATCTATCAATAGTTTTTTCTCAGCTAGTCGAACACAAGGTATAGCATTGAGATTTTCTGGTGCCATTGAAACTGATAATGTCACTTCAATATTTATGGAGGATATGAAACCTGTTTTATTTGAAATTGAAATTAAAATTGATCATAAAATGCAATTAAAACGAAAACCATTTGCTGATGTAAGTCACTTGTGGAATGGACTAAAATTAGATGAACAAGAAGTTATATTCATGGTTGATTCATTTTTTCAAATTGATTCCAATATTGAAGACAAAGAAATTGAAACGATAGTTAGCGGAGAAAAGGTAAAAGTTGTAGTAACACTTATTAAATTAAAATTTATTAATGAAGATGATATAAATATACCAATTATGAAAGATTATCATATTTTAAAATCAACAAAAACAATCGAAGGCAAATTAGTTCGAATTGGAAATTTACTAATCGATCAATCATTATCTATTAGATCTTCACAATCGAAAGCAGATTTATACTATAAGATTTTGTTCAATGAACCAAAACTTTCAATGACTGTAGCATGCTTAACAGGTCAAGCTTGGATAGCATTGAAGAGAGAACAATATAATTTAGCCATAAAATTAGCATTAGAAGCTTTATCCATCGTTGATAAATCTAATGATGAATTAAAAATTACTATTCTAAATTGTCTTGGTGGAGTTTATTTGAAATTAAAAAACTTTCCCAAAGCAATAGAATATTATACACAAGCATATAATTTACCGAAACCAACTGATAATAAAATAGTAAACAACAATTATTCAGGTCCATGTATTCCAATTGATAAATATGCAATGTTTGATAATTACAGGAATATATCATCAATTAATATCGCATGTATCCATAAAAAAAATGGAGATATTCAATTGGCATGGAATATGTACAAAGAAGCTATTGATTGTGAAATGCGCGATACTAATGATTTTCATTGTCATACATGTATGACAATAGCTGAATTTGGAACTCATGAAATGATAATAACTCAAGAAGAAAAAACTCGAGCATGGAAAAATTGGGAAAATTTTCTTGATCTTGGTCTAGTCGATATTCTTAAATATTGTACATCAGTTGTAACTGGATATTTATCATTCAATCATCAATATGATTTTCCTTCACATCGATATAATAATAATTATTGTCGAACAATGACAATTAATTATTTTCGAAAAGTTGAAAAGCAATGTGTACCATATACATCAAATCACGAATATTATCTATATACTTTACAATGTTACGAACGTCTTGCAGAACTATACAGAGATTGGAGCAATCGATTTATTGATTATTATGAAAAAATGATTGAATTATGTCTCAAATATCATCCAGATGATTTAGAAAATATTATCATTAGTTATAAAGGTATGATAGAAACTTACAAAAAGCAGCAGTCAAGAAGACCAGATAATTCTGAGGATATATTAAAGAAACTATGTGCTGACGATAATGATATAATAGTTACATCAGACAGAATATCGATGACACCACCCGTACCACTATTGACGCCACCCGTAACTCCGTTGAAACCTCCGACATTCGGAATATTTTTTCAAAATATGAAACATTTACATTTCGCATTTGGTTACTATGATAAATGGATAGATCCTCGATTGAAAAATGAATCGGATTTGCAAGAGAAAATCATCTATTGTCATATGAAATTAGCTGCTCTATTTTATGAACAGAAGAAAGTAAGTGATGCGAAAGATTCATTAATAAAAACTAATTTATTATGTCAAAAATTTAGTTCAGAAATGTTTGATGTTAGACATATCTGTGATGAAAATTTGTCATTGATAAATATGAATTTTGATTTCACTATTCAATCATATAAAAATCGATTATCAACAACAATTACTAACATTACTGGTAATTGTATAGATGAAGATAATTATTGTTATATAGCACAATTATATGAGAAAAAGAATGATTTCAATTCAGCATTCGAATTTCTACAAAAACCAATTGAATATTTTGAACAATATGATTATATCTGTTTACATACAATTGATTGTTATAGAAAATTAGCAAAACATTATCAAATAATTAAAAATGATAAAGAGTCTACTGTTAATACATATGAAAGAGCAATCAATTTCGTCTGGAAACATCAATCATATCCAATGACAATAATTATTTCGATTATTGAAAAATATTTAATTCACTATTTAAAAAAAATCAATGATTTAGATACAACTATTCTTATTTATGAAATATTTTGTGAAATTGTTCAATATGAAATAATTAATATTACAATATTATATAATCATTTGAAACGAATTTTAAAATTAATAGTTCGCAAATCTGATGCATTTAATGTAGTTCTTGATGTTTATGAATCGTTTCTTAATTTAATTTTAAAAATAATCAATCCATTAACTTCACAAATGACTATGGTTTTAATTCATTTTCGAGATCATTTTATTATTACATATAAAAAATTCAACTATTTATGTTCAGCAATTGAAATTTATCAAAAATTAATAGATCTTCTTTTCAAACATCAAAATGATACAATGAAAATTATAAATGAATATAAAATAATAGCAGCTAAATTTATAACAAAACATTTCTTAGAAAATTCAGTAATAGCATATGAAAATCTATTAGATTTTGCATGTCAACATCATACGACCGGTTATTTTATTGAAAATGATTTAATTAGTTTTATTTTTTATGTCTGGAAATACGAAATTATTAAACAATATTTGATAGAAAATAATTTCGATTTAGCAATTAGTTTACATTATAAAATGATTTATTTTCTAGAAAAATATCGATTAATCGTCAATACTAGATATAATTTAAATGAATTTATACAAACAACATTACAGAATTATGATGAAATAGTTATAATCTATCAATTAAAAAAAACTAATTTAAATCAAATTATGAATATTTATCAAGAACAGATTGAATTTCTGGCAAAGTATCAAACAGAAACTGTTCAAAAACATATAAACACAATTATTTTCAAATGTCGACAATTTGCTTCAGCTCATGAAGAACAAGCTATAGAATTATATTCAAAACTTATTATATTCATTCAAAAGAATCGTCTACAATATTTATCTCATCTATCAATTGCCTATAAAGAACTCATTCAATTAAATGATACTAATAACAAAAAACAACAATGTCTAGATTCAAGTGATGAAATTACTACTGACAATTATTTACCAAATTCATATCGTATTGTTGATCTTAAACAACGTATCTTGGACTATAAACAAAAAGCTAAACATTATTTAGATAATAATCAATTTGATAGGGCAATAGAAGTTTATAGAACTGAATTGTTACCATTTCTTTTAGAAAATCATGCACGAGATGATGAACATATTGCTACATGTTATAGACAATTAGCAACATTATATTACGAAGAGAATGAGAAAAATATTCGAATAGTATTGAATTATTATCAAAAAGCTATTGATATTTATGAAATGCAAAAGGATAATTTCTATACAGAATATGCTTTTGAATTAAATCCAAATGTTTGTCGTCGTTATGCAGATACACTTTTTATGTGTTATAATATTATGAAAACAATTTATATCATTTTAAATGATCAAATTTCATCGGAAATATATAGACAAAAAGGAATTGATATCTATGAAAAACATAAAAATCAATTTCAATTCAATGGCAATCCTACAACGAATATGGTTACAGTTCAAATACGTCCTTTTGTTGAACTAAATTATTGATATCAGGCTTTTTTTTTGTTAACTTTTCACGATATTGATCGTAATCATTTATAATGAAAAAAACATCTATCAGAAATTTTCTTTTCTGTGTATATAACTGTGATGGATAATTCCATTCATAAGCCATGTTTATTCTTGTTAGAAAAGAACGCGTTTTCGGAACAAAAGAAATATTATTGATTGCGAAAACTGCGTTATAAAAAATATAAAATATTACAACTAGACAATATATTTTATTTCCTGAATAAATATGATATATAGAAATTCATTCATATGAAGAATAAAATTTGTTCTGAGATTGATATTTTATGAACATATTTCTTCTTGTTCACCAAAACATAGATCATCATCATCGATTGTTGTTAAAGCTAATGGTGTGCGTCTAGGATTTAAATCTGGCAATTGTATTTTATCATATTTTACATCTGTAGCTGTTTGATATCTATGCCATTTATTTTCATCATGATACCATACAGTTTGATCCATTTTAACAGCAAATAATTGTGGTCCTTGTACACTGATTGTTTTATAATATTTTGCACCTGATAATCCGTCTCCTTTTCGATTAAATTCAAGTTTTAAATCTAACCATGAACGTTCAATACCTGTAGCTGTTGTAGGTGCATAATCTTTGGCAGAAATATAGGAAAATGTACACATGTCGTCTGTCATAGTAGTGATGAAAGAATAAAGATCTGTGATTTGTTGTAGATGATGTTACTATAAATATTCTGTGCTGTTAAGCTTTTTTTTTCATTTCGTTCTTTTCTTTTTCTTCCTACTACTGTAATAAGAAAAAGTGAACTTTCAAGTTGGAAAATAACAGTTTAGGCGTGAGTGTGATTGTAGGTGTGCGGCTAGACCTGCGAAGATGATACGTAGCTACACTCATAGTCATAATCATGATCACATCCTCTTAGAATAACAATCATTTTATTGCCTGTCTTGTACTACAACCTTTGTAGATTGATGATTAAGCATGATGTGTTATATTATGATTACGAAAATTAATGATTTGAATTTATTTTATATTAAAATAATGTCGATTATCATCGATGTTATTAATTTTTTTTCTAACTAGAACGACAATCAGACAGTTTATCATAATCAATAGTGAGCTCAAAGTTCGACAGTATGCTTTGTGTATCTCAGTCTTGATATATCTTGTTATATAATGTATTTTCATATGTTGAAAATATGAGAGTATATCAAAACATAAAAAGTAGAAGTAAGTGCAAAGAACAATATTTATCTCGCAGTGAGTAGTGCTAATTTATATATTTTAAAATTATTTGATGTACTAAATTTAAAAAAAAAAAACTTAAATAATTGAAATCTTTTTATATTATAATTTTATGGTAGTTTATTTTAAATATAAATTATAATAATTTTAAATTTACAACTAAATTTTAATTCTACGAAGTTAATTTATTTAGTAGTTGAAGATAAGGTGATTTAAATTTAAAACTAAACTAAACCGTAATATAAAAAAATCTAGTTTCTTTTCAATATCAAGAGTTTTTTTTTTTATTTTTGCATTTAAAATTTATTTTTTTTAACACAACTAATTACTCTCAGTTGACAAGAATCAAAAGATATTCCTCTAAAAATTATAAAATTTTTTAAATTTATTTTGTTTCATATTAGAACTTGAAAAATTTTGAGTAAAACTGTATTATGTAACATCTTAGAATAATTATGAACATGTAAAAGTTAATCTCTTGATCATATGGTTCAATGATCTAAATGACGGGTAGGTGATAGATTGTATGCATATTCAAATATAATCTTCACCATCACATATTTTCATTTAGACTAGTCCGGAATCGTCCGTTAAATAAGGCTACAATTCGTTTTATATACGTCCCTGTCAACCATCCTGACTAGTCTTTGTCTCAAAAAGTTCTCGACCATGACTGGTTCGAGCGTCTTCAATGTACCTTTCTGTTGATTTACAAACACATAGTCATGGAGGGATCTCTTTTGACTCAAAGACCAGTCTTATCAGGATTCATGGAGTCATGCAGTATGCATAGATCCTCGTTAGTGATTAAATATTTGTTATTTTCTTGAACATACATGTAAAAGAAGACAAGAAATGAATTACTGAGATGAGTTAGTGAGTAAAGATGTTTTAAACGCGTACATAATGAATTTAAATTAACCATAAATTGGGCTCTTTCTTCGGGTTTCAAGATTCATTCTCTTTTCTGTGGTCTCTTTCACGATCCGGTTCGGTACTCACATCTGGGTCGGGTGTTGAACCGTATGAGAAATAAGCAGAAGCATCGTTTTTCAGTAACAGGTGACGTTGATGTTGTTCGCTACGACATCCAAGAAACCTTGATATTAAGTTCGGTTTGATCCATGTAAAAACAATTAGACGAATAATTAGATTAAAATTGATTAAAAAAATGATCAAAAATCGATTTTAATCAATTTTCCTTCAGAGTAAAGGGTTAAATCTTTAATCAATTTTCTTAGATTTTCATCGATTACGTTTAATTGATTTTAATCTGATTATTCGTCTAATTTTCTTTATATGGGGGAAAGAAATGATCGTAAATGCATGTGATCCATTGATGCTGAAGTCAGTTGAGCGTCCGTAGCTAAGATTAATAATATGATAAATAGAGCAGTTGAAATGCATGACGCTCTCGTCATGTTTGAGATTTAATGTTTCGATAGAAAATTACGAATGTTTTATCACAAAAGAAATGTAACCAATATCTGTTACTAAAATGAGGCTGTTTATATAGAAGTTTGAATGTAAAAAAAAATCACTCTTCCGCAGGGTGTAATTTTTCCCTTAGCATCCAGCAATATCAAACTAGAAAGTTGAATTCCAGTATTCATCTATTCAATTCGACTATTCAAATTTTCAACAGGAGAGTGAATGCTTAACTCCACGAAGGGATCGAGATGAGGGTGAGAGCAAAACCTTACAAAGGTTGAATACTTGAATTGAATAATTGTATAGTTGAATAGTTGAATGCTTGAATACTTGAAATGAATAGTTGTATAGCTGAATACTTGAATAATTAAATTGAATAGTTGAATACTAGAATACTTGAGTTCAAGTTTCAAGTTTTACATATATGCAGACTAGTCAGACGGGTGTGGGTGTAGGTGTGTGTTTGCTGTTAATCTGCGGCGGCACACACATCCACACCCACTCAACTCATGATGAATGATGTAGTTGTTTGAGTTTCTTTCAAAAACAATGTAGAATGCAAATAACTCGAAGTCTTTTTTGATAATTACTTTAACCAATTTAAGTGTGCATCTCCGTTTAGTTGATCTGTTCTCTTTTATCAAGCAATGACTATAAACTTTGATTCAGTGAGACGTGTATGGATTCCGTGAATCCTAAAACCTTGAGAGTTTTGGAACTCAAATATTAATCATAAATAAGTAGTAATCAAACAAAGTTAAATAAAACTCAGAGAACACAAGGAATCTCTGGAACTCTTACAACTTTCGGAAATCACGAAATATTCGAAATTCAAAGAACCTACTGAACTCTAGCAAATCTAAGAATTCTAGCAGCTCAGAAACTCTCAAAACGCAAAAAAGAATCGGAGAACCACGGTAGAAGTGAAGAGAAGTCGCACACTAACAGTCATGTCCGTGTCGAACGTTGCTGAGTTTGTTCTTTGCCCAATCTGAATCATTATTGATTCTTCTGATTCCTGAATATATTTTATCCGGGCTAGTGGATTTCAATGTATTCGACAATGAGATTTTAATTCACCATGATAACCGTCTACAATATTATTAGTTTTTGTTGATAGTAATAATGATAACATAAGAATATTCGTCAGAATACTAAAACACTAGACTTTTTATACCAATTGAAACTGTATTTGAACTGAAAAACGGATAATTTCGATATTTAAGGACATGTTTCTTTTTTTCTTGCCGTCTAGAGACGTCTGAATCAATAATCGATGAACGTTACTTGTTATTGAAATTTAGTCGTGATTGATTTTGAAAATATGTTTGAAGCTAATACATAGAAACAAAAAACTATTTGTTCTCCCGCTCTAGACTATATCAACCTTCAGTCGACAGGAGACAAAGTGATTGAGCAATTATAGTAGTACAATAAATAAGATATGTTGAGAAGTTTTAAATCATAATCATCTTATTGGAAAAAAATACTTCTAAGAACAAAGTGATCGTTATTTCATATATCTTGAAAACAACGAGAACTAGTGTTTTCGCTCTTGAGAACAGCATTCAACAAGGCTTTATATAGTATTTATTGACATAAGAAGTGCTTCAAAACGATTTTAAAATTCCTGATTCTTGCATTCAACAAGAATAAAGCTTTGATGTTGATCATTTTTACTATGGGTGAGAAGCTGTAACAATTCTATCATACACTATTTTATCAATTTTACAATTACTTAAGCAGGTATTTTTAAATCAAAAGAACTTTTTGAAATAAAAAAAAACCATATCAATTTTGTCATTATTTATGTACTTGTTTACCGTCTAGATCCTTTATTAATTTTAATTGTGTTGTATTCAATTTTAATGTACTTTTTCAATAATTAAATGCCATTGTATTCTCGCTCTCATATTTTCTCTTTTCATAGATTCGAACTGTATTCTATAGACCAAACACGGACTATTTATGCAACATATTTATCTAGTCTATTTCAATTGATAAAAATATGAACGATGGAATTCAAAGCAAGATGTACCCTTCATTTCGAATTTAGATCATCTTGAAAAATTACAGACTATACATTATCTGAATTTTTTATTCTTTTTTTCTTCTCTAACGAAACTGTTTATTTCTTATAATGACGCGCACAAAAAATGAAAATATTTCTGTGAAGGAAACATTTTTCATATTGGCATGTATTTCCTAAAATGAGACATTAGAATCAATATTTGTTTTACCATTTTTGTATCGCATTTTATCAGCTTAAGTAATTCTAAAATTGATATGATCAATGTTTGAATCGTTTCAGAACTTCTGGAATACACTTAATGTTGTATATCGTGAGCGTTATATCCTAGAATATGATATACATGGCTAGAGACTAATACAATTTTATTGAAAACTTATTAATAAACATTAGTTAAGAATAAAGTGAGTTATTAGTGCCTAGAAGAGAAAGTGTTAGATTGAATTTATCTTAAAGAAAAAAAAACAATCTAATCTATTTGCCATATTCTGGAGTAGGTCCAGCCGACTTGATTTGTGTATTTTCAATGACGAAATGCCAATCGGCTGTTGGATTTTCAACACCATCGAAAGGTGCTTTCAATTCTAGTTTTGTTCCATTGGATAATGTAACATCGATCTGCTCGATTACTTCACGAACGTTGTGTGTACGCTTAGTGATTAATCTTTCTGAGAGATAACGTATTTTACCCTTCTCTACGTCCATGTCCAAACGTGTATTCTTGACTTCTCCATTATCATATTCAATAGCTGCATAAGTAAGTACAACTTTAGCATCATAATCTGAAACATTTTTCAAGGCACAAGCATAAATTTTACGACGATAATTTTTGTCTTGAGCACTCATGATTGTATGTAAAATTGATCACTATTAAACAAATAAATGCTTGTCGACGTATGAAGGTAAACGAATGAAACGGATGAGAAATTACGTTTCACTCGAGTGTATATTCATGTATTCGTTCTTTTCTACGCGATCGATCCGTGCATATTTAAAGGACAAAAAACACGTTTGAGACACTACATATTGAGAGTGACAGTAAAAAAAAAATAAAGAAAAAGCGCACAACCATGCGAAAAGGCATAAATATGTTTGTCATGAAAAGGACGAAATTTAGTAAATACGTAGACGTGTTTTGATCCTATTTCATCAAAAAATGAAGAATTTGTAAACTCAATAGAGAATATTTAGAAAACGATAAAAAAAAAGTTCTGTTAGAGTCATTATCTAGACTTGAATGCAAATAAATAGATTTTTTTAAAATTTTTCTAATAATCATAAATTTGTAATAAATATAAAATTTATCAGTTAATTTATGTTTTACAGAGATCAACAATAAAACATTGAAATGAATCATTAGAATTGATATGACAAGATCCGAGAAATTCTTTCTCATATGTTTCTAATTGTTCATTTTATTTTTGTTTATTTATAACATTGTATATTTACTGATTTATTGTCGTCAATGTGGTGATTTACTGGATATGTCAACAGAGTTATAGTCACCTGACTAGCCAATATTTCTTGAAAGATAATAAAAAATATCAATATAGACGAAGATAGAGTTATTTATTTTCTTGATCTTGCCTATTTCTAATAAAACAATATGACAATGTTATTTGTATTAATACCATTATCATCGGTAAAAATCCGAAATGTGTAAAAAGATTGCTTGTATAATCTTCATAGAAATTGGTTACAAAATAACAACTTGAATAGCTGAATGTTTGAAATAAACAAATGATATCCCTACTTTACCGTTATCAGTAGTCACTATTCAGTTTGTATTATCTTACTTAATGTTTTCATGGTAGGTTTGAAGTAAGATTTTTATTAATACTCAAAATTATTCATTTATTTTCATCAATAATAAATAGAATTTTTCATAAATCTAAAATTCAATATTATTTATTATGAATTTTTCTATTCTTTGTTAATTCTTCATTGTAAACAATAAAATATGAAATACTCTATTGATTATTTCTCTTATACAAATTTAACCAAAAATATCATTTTGTACAAGTTAATTGAACGAAACTATTGAAAGTACATTTATTCAATGATATTTTTCCTGTAATTCTTATTTTTTTTAGGTTGCTTTCAACAACAAATTAAGTTTAGAATATAAAAATTACAATAGAAAAAAAATCAATTTTAATAGCTCAGTTCGATTCAATCGTCGTACTTAAGCAAATATAATTCAAAATCTTCACAAGTCGTTGAAAATACAAAATTTTCAGGTAACTGTGACATTTTTAAATCGTCTTTTCTCCATGTGGAAATAATATCACATAGAGTAACCAAATCTCGCTATAAAACTTAATTCAAATCAAGAATGTTAATCACGACATGTATATTATCGTTGATACAAAAAATTAGAAACTGAGGCATTTCTAAGCATGTAGAGGAACAAACCTGAATATTATGTATCAATATATTGAATTAATAAAAATTTTGTTATTTTTAGAAATTTTCATCTAATTGATAACGTAAAATTGCATTTCCAAAGCATTAAGTAAAAATATAGTGAAAAAATGTGTCCGAAAATAGATAAAATAAAGTAATGTTTCTACAATTAGCAACATCAGCTACACCGTGTTTCGCATTTTAATCTCACAAGGTTGCGCTAACAGCTTTTATTTTTTATTGCTATTAAATTGTTCATTAGCAATAAAAATAAATTTATTATTTGATAGGTCTTCAATATTTTCTGTGCTTTTTTCTTTCAAACATTCAATTAAAGTATAATAAAAATTTTCTCTCTAGTGATTCATTTGGTTTCCTTGAAAAAAATAAAATGTTCAATAATTGATCAAAGGTTTTCTGATGAATGTACAGTCGTAAATTTGATCAGTAAACGTAACAGTTTAAAATTTATCTAATCAACATATTATACAAATCTATCTCTCGATGGAAATCTTCATCAAGTTTATTTTGTTTAATACTAATTAGGGTGTGGGTGTGCATAAAGAGAAGACCCACACTCACACCTTCTGTAAAAGAGAGAAGGAGATGTATGATTTTCTATTGTCAATATAATAAAATTGAAACCTTTACTGGGATAGAAAAATCAGGAGCGTTATAGACAAACATTACATCGATTGCAACATCGCTGGCATCAAAACTCACTGGATCAATTTGTTGATTTATGCAGAGTTTTTCTTCTCTAGTGCTGAAAGACTGTCACGTACATGTATCAGTTTTGTTCTTTCCACTTCTTCAATTCTTCGTTCATCAATACGCTTAAGATATTATTCTCCTTTCTCTGATTTTCTATAAAGACATTGCAGATGTGAAACTAATGAGGCATTTCGATGAACACTTTGCTATATAATAGTATGTAAGGATTTTCTGAACGAATTTTGAATAACCTCTCAGTTGTAAAGTATCTCTTTTTTTTATTATATCAAGATCATACTTAATTTAAAGATCTGCCAATTACACAACATTTTCAAGTTCGTAGAGGAGTTAACTAGGAAGGTGGCTAAACAGAAGAGATAGTTAAACTATGTCTATATTACAAATGAGTCTCTGACAGATTATTGTTGTTAATAATACTACTGTTGTAGACAGTCTGAGTTTCTCCTTCACCTTCATAAGATATTTTCCAATGGGGGGTGAATTCCAGAACTCTAATCAGTACATCGGCAATAAATAAATATATAGATAAAATGTTATTGCAAATGGAACAATTTGTAAGGCAGTAAATACCAGGTTTAAACGAGCCACGAGTATCGTATTGGCTGTTAAACAGGTCATCATAAAATCCAATAGCATACTGGGTAACTGACCGAGAACTTGCATCAGGTAAGGTACAAAAAAATCTTTGTGTTTATGTAGAATGAGACAAACTTGGACAGGTAATGAATCACTATCTACAAAACGCTGACGATGTCTAAGAAGATGTTGTAAGACTACAGTATTCATTACAATGTAGATGAAATAGAATGCAAATAAATGAATGGGTGTGATAATTGCATACAAGATATGTCCAAGGGAAGTGAGGTTTATACATTGAACCAATCGCAACTCTAGCGGCTGATTTTCATGAACTGCGAAAATGCCAGGAAGTGTAATTAACGAACAGATGATTACAATAACAGCAGAAGATGCGACTGACCAGCGTCTGGAATCATACAGACTATAGTTTCTAAAACATTCCACTAACACCCTTTCTATAGGCACACTGGCGATAAACCAATTGTACATAGAAACAAGAGGACATAGACAAATTTTGCATAAGACATTGGAGATCAACAAATAGATATGGGTATGGTAATTCTGTGAAAACCCTGAGGAAACTCACCGTTTTCCGGCCGTTTCCGTGCCGGATTGTTCGATATGGGCATTTCTCTGCTATTATAAAGACGAAACATACTATTGTTCCGGCCATATGAGAGAGGGCCCCAGATAACTTCTAGGTTGACCCGCACAACACTCTGTTTCGTCCTTACAATAGAAGAGTAGAACCCTGTTGAAATTTGATTGACTGATGGGGAAAGGCTTAACCAATCAGATTTCAGTAGGATTTTACTCCACTATTATAAGGACGACGCACAGCATTGTTCTGCCCAATGTAGAGGTTATCTGGGATCCTCTTTCATATGGGGGAAACAATAGTATGTTTCGTCTTTATAATAGCAGAGAAATACTATCAGCTGTAGCTCACTACCAGCTAAACGGAGGTAATCATAGTTCACACCAATACTTTAGTAGACTCGGATTCGAATAAACAAAATGTATTAGAGGAAAGGAAAGTATTAGTCGTTCAATGAAGGGCGAAGGTGCGGGTGTACCCAGTTCGGATGTACTGGTGCATGTCTACTTGGACTCTTTGGTTTCCTTGAGTTCCTTCGATTTCTTGATTTTCTTCGGTTCTGTGACTGCCTTTATACGGCTGATTCTCTATTAACATTTGAGTTTTGAAATTCTTATGAGTTCAGAATTCAAGAAAGTCAGTCAGATCTCATTAATTGCTCCGCTAAAATATGGAAAATGATAAATCTTTTTACTTTTCTTTCACACGTAATTTGATAAGCTATAGAACATATTTGAAAATCCACACCTCCTCACACAAATTAGCGGAACTATCAGTTTTCATAGTAGCCTGGAATTGTCTCTTCAGGTTGGCTGACCGTATTTGCTTGATCAAAGTCATTAACGAGACGATTGAAATGCTCCTTGAGCGCTTGGATACATCCAGGAGGCACTTTGTTCTTATTGACCAGTTCTACTTCTTCAAGGAGTTTGACAGCACACTGGAGTTCCATTCGATAATCATAGTGAGGACAAAGCTCTTTGAGCTTTCCTAGAATCTTGTGCAAGTCTGTCTGTAAACTCAGAATTTGATCTTCTTTGTCCTTGATTTCTGTGTTGAGTTTGGCAATCAGGATATCTCGTTGTTGTTCTGCACTTGCAAATTGTTTTAGGTTCTCTATCTCGCCCAATGTTAGAAGTGGTTGTTTCACAATTTCTCGATGAAAAATAAATTTAACATGAACGTGAGTATTGTAGGGATGTCCACACTCTTTCTCTTGACACACGTTTTTGCGCATACATGCACATTGTTGAAAAGTGTTATTACCGATTGAAGTACAATACTTCAGCTGGCAGTTTTCATGACAAATGTGTGAACATGTTAGGCATTGTGTGTTATGATACGAAGTGTCGCGTTGAGTAATTTTGACGTTCTCTGTGAACATTCTAGCTTTCTTTTGCAACAAATCAACGGTAGGTTTCATGTCATTCATCAGTTGTTTTTCCGCCTTGAGTTTGGTTTTAAGGAACGATCAGTTACCTCGAGTATTAGAAAAGGTAGCGATGAACAAGCGGTAGGTGAAAACGAC